ATCATGATTCTTTGTTTTATACATATATATATATATATATATATATATATATATATATATAAAATTAAGGTTTAATAGTTATACATGCATGATTAAATTATCAACCAATAAAAAATTATTGTTAGTATAACTTTGAAAATAATTTTTATAAAAGTCAAGCAAATTATACATAATAATTTGTGATTAAATGATAATATAAAATTACTTTATATTATAAATGTATTGTTTTTATTTATTTTTTGTTTTTTTAATCGGTAGGAATGAAACTTAATATGAAGGAGATACAAATCACTCAAGCAATTGAACTAAACTACCTTCATATAAAATATGTAGTGTGATTGAAAGAGATGTAAAGAAAAGTAAATATATGAAAAATTGTTATAAAAAAAGAATTGTCTAGTGACATTGTTCAAAATGGATTACTAAAATCACACAATATCATTACTTAACTTTTATGCATTCGTACCTTTTTTATTTTGTCTTTTTTTTGTTTGGTAGTATGACTGTGGAACAAAACAAGGTTTGTAAGCAAATTAAGATTCTCATCCAAACATTTATTTATGGTTTATAAAATACATTGAGGTTTTTCAGTGGTGGCTGATCTTGATCATCTGTGAAAGAAATGAAAGATTTTGTGTCTAATATTTAGGACCATGATAATACCATTTCCCTCGTGTGTCCTACATATAGAATTGGTGATGATGAACTTGACAATGATAAGTAACAATTTCTCCCACCTAATGCAAAATGCCAAATCATACAAGTCAACAACATTGAATCTGGTCAAAGCATCATTTCCTAATTACTAATAGCCCCCTTACTAACAAAAGCCTAACAAGGGTTTGAACAACCATATATTTCATATTCTTCCAAGAGAAATAGAAGTAACGTTTACTGAATTTTCACTCCAACAACCACATTCTCTACCTCACAGAGAGAGAGAGGGAGAGAGCATTAGTCACTTTCCATATACATGTACCTTTTCTGTCATAGTCCAATTCCAAACTCTATATACCAAAAAGCTTCATGTGGAGGCAAAGCCAAAACATAAACTATACACCAAACAAACACAAATTTCATATTTTAATTTTCTCAAACTTCCCTCCTTCAAAACCAAGCCAGTACCCAAAACTTGAACCAAACAACACCCTCCCTCTTAGTCCAATGTCTCTTTCTCCTTAACAACCACCCTAGTTCTCACCTCACAAAGATAAAATATTAAAGCCTCAAACACCATTGACATGCCTGACCCAAATGCTAAGCAAGGTTAGGTGAAAGATAGCAACCTTAAGCACCACCAAAGCCTCCCTTTTACATCATATCCTCACAAGGGTTCTTGCGGTTCTCCTCTGCTGTTGAATTGTCAAATGAAATAAGGACTATTGTACAAGTTCAAGAGGAGGAACTCAAGGCCTTGTTCTTGTGCCTTGCCTCATTTGTTGTTCATTTTTTCTTCTTCTTTTGCATTAGGACAACAACATGCAGCTGCATATATCTCCAAGTTTGAGGCATGTCACTGTGTTTCCAAGCAAAGGGTTCAAGGAGTTTATCAAAGTGAAGGTTGCATCAAGGCGTGTCTCTTATCGGATGCTCTTCTATTCACTCTTGTTCTTCACTTTTCTTCTCCGGTTTGTGTTTGTTTTAGCATCAGTGGATGGCATTGATGGAGAAAATAAATGCTCTACCATAGGTACACATTTTTTACTCCTCTTTCTATATGACATGCACTCACACACATGTAAAATCACAAACAGCTGCACTATGGGAAGTGCAACACGAAGGGTTGATAAGGTTTGAATTTCCATAGTTAAAAGCTTATTATTATTTTACAAAGCTTTTTATATTTAATGATTTTTAAATAGCTCTTTGGCTGCACTCATACTCCTCGAACAAATCGTCATAACTTCACCGACCTTTGATTTAAAAAGTTTCTGAGAAATTGTAACACAGTGGAAAAGATGCACATTTGTGTGTTCTTTTTTAAATCATGGTTGATGCCAGTGTATACAATGTGAGTTTCTTTATATTATCCCTCGTGTCAGAACTGGATTTATCTCTTGTATTCTATGAGAGGAATAAGAGGAATAGGATTTATCAATAGTTATTGTCGGGTAAACCTGACCATCCATTTGAATTTTAAAGTAGATAAGGCATGTTACAGTACAAGTTCACGTGCCATGATCTTAAAGATACAACGACAAAGGATGAACTTCAAAATTAGGAAATCATAAATTCTTGCCTTTATTTTCTATTAAAAGACAAGAAAACCTGACCTTTTTATACATGATTATTTACAGCTAGAAATTGCAATTCCAGAAAACATATTTTATTGTATCATCATATATGACATTTTAATTAACTCTCAAATCACATTTGTAGGTTGCCTAGGGAAAAAACTAGGACCAAGGATATTGGGAAGACGGCCTGAATCAGCTGTAATCTCCCGAACTCTTCTAATTATACTTACCACCATCTTAATGGATTTTGCTATAACTTGACCTTAATCTTTCATTAATGGCTGAAAATGAAATGGCTTTTTATAGGTCCCAGAAGTGATATACCAAACATTAGATGAGCCTCTCGGCAAACTTGAACTTCAGGGAAGGTTTGATATTCCACAAACCTTAGAAGAGTTCATGACTGAAATGAAGAAAGGTGGATATGATGCCAAGACATTTGCCGTTAAACTTAGAGAAATGGTACCATTCTCCAACTCTTTTCAATCAGAACTATTTTCATGTAGGGTTTATTCGGATAAACTTCTCCAAAAACACTTATAGGAGAGAAAAATAGGAAGACGTGTGTGGAGAAACTTATTTCGATTTTTCTTTCTATTTTTTTCTTCTCCTAAAAGTACTTATGAAGAAGTTTATCCAAACAGACCTTTAGTTACACTTGTCGAACTCTCCATAAACAATAAAGCTGAACATTTCACAGGTAACCCTTATGGAGCAGAGGACCAGGATGGCCAAAATCCAAGAATATCTATATAGACATGTAGCATCAAGCAGCATACCAAAACAACTTCACTGTCTTTCCTTGAGTTTGGCCAATGAACACAGCAACAATGCCGGGGCACGCCTTCAGCTCCCCTCTGCAGAACTAGTCCCTGCCCTGGTTGACAATTCCTACTTCCATTTCGTCCTCGCCTCAGACAATGTTCTGGCTGCATCCGTGGTTGCTAAATCGCTTGTTCGCAACTGTTTGAGGCCTCAGAAAGTTGTTCTGCATATAATTACAGACAGGAAGACTTATTATCCCATGCAGGCTTGGTTCTCATTGCATTCTTTGTCACCTGCTATAATTGAGGTCAAGGCATTGCACCACTTTGATTGGCTTTCAAAGGGAAAGGTGCCTGTTCTGGAAGCTATGGAGAAAGATCAAAAGGTGAGGTCACAGTTTAGAGGGGGGTCATCAGCTATTGTTGCAAATACCACAGAGAAGCCAAATGTTATTGCTGCAAAACTACAAGCACTTAGTCCCAAGTATAATTCAGTGATGAACCACATCCGGATACATCTCCCAGAGGTAAAAGGAATAGCAATTAGCATAGCAAGCAAACCTTTAATTAATTTGACGGCTTATGTATAATAACTATGCATTTTTTTGTGTGCCTGTGATGCTTATTGCCATGATACTTATTTCATAACAGTTGTTTCCAAGTCTTAACAAGGTGGTCTTCCTGGATGATGACATCGTGGTACAAACTGATCTTTCACCTCTGTGGGACATTGAGATGAATGGAAAAGTCAATGGAGCTGTAGAGACATGTGCTGGAGAAGATAAGTTTGTGATGTCGAAGAGGTTGAAAAGCTATTTGAACTTCTCCCACCCTCTAATATCCAAAATTTTTAACCCCAATGAATGTGCCTGGGCCTATGGCATGAACATCTTTGATTTGGAGGCTTGGAGGAAGACCAATATAAGCAACGTTTACCATTATTGGGTTGAGCAGGTATATGTTTCTTCTATTCTATCAATAATTATATAAAGAAGAAAAAAAGAGTCAAACTATTTTTGATATACCTCAGATGTGTCATTAAAATTTATTTTCCACAGAAGTGGTAGTTAATATAATATTGATATTTTGGCTTGCTTTATGTAGAATATCAAATCAGACCTGAGTTTGTGGCAGCTAGGGACATTACCTCCTGGGTTGATAGCATTTCATGGTCATGTCCATGTTATTGATCCTTTCTGGCATATGCTGGGATTGGGATATCAGGAAAATACAAGTTTTGCTGATGCTGAGAGTGCTGGTGTCATCCATTTCAATGGCAGGGCAAAGCCATGGCTAGAAATTGCTTTTCCACAACTAAGGACATTATGGACAAAGTATGTTGACTTCTCAGATAAGTTCATCAAGAGTTGTCATATTAGGGCATCATAGCTTATATCTTGAGAAAACGCGACCTTGTTGATGAGTTGAACAAATGGCTTTTGTATTCAAGGGAAAAAGAAAATGAGAGAGTTCTTCTAAGCATAAGGCCTTCAATGACAACAAAGAGACAACAATGATGGGCTTGATGCTCCTTTCTTGCTTTGAAATTTTATTTTTTAACTCTTCAATTGAAATTCTCAGATTCTTTTTCTCTTCCATCCATATTGTAAGTATAGTATTTGTAGATCATATACCATGTATTAAACCTGCGAGCTCAAGGTTTTAACAATAAGCTTTTGTACGATGAGATATAATAAAAATTCAGGGCAAACGAAAGACCAAAGGACCATTTTATCCAATTTCATTTAAATCCACATATAATACATCTAGCTAACAGAAGAGCTTCTTATCATGTAATTCCTAATCAGGCAGTGATGAGGGTTGAGGTGGTATGATAAAGTTTTAAATTTAAACTCTTATGTCATCATTGTAATTTCTTTAGTTAAAAAAAATGACATTAAATGTATCACTATTATCAATAACTTAAAAGTAATCTGGATCCTCAATTTCTCATTCAAAATTGGTGAGTGTTAATACATGTTTACATCATACAGTGGTCAGTGCATCTACAATCACTGAGACATGTTCACAAACATGTTCTCTCTACAATGCATGTGAATCAGTGATGCTGAAGAGTGAAGATCAATGCTTCAGCCCCACTTACTCTTTCCCTGTCACATTGGATACCAATCCCTTGATGAACCTAGCAGACTTGGTTATGGGGGAATTGATAGCCATTAGATTGTACAATACATTCTCAACTTCACCAATAGTTGGCCTGGCCTTGAATGAGGAAACCACCTTCATCTCTTCTCCTTCTTCTACAAAAACATTCCATCTCTCTCCACTCACAACCCCATCTCTCACACACTTAAAAACCACCCCTTTTCTCTTGCTCAAGATCCCTCTCACCTCCAACCCAATAAAAGAATAAACCACTTCAAAAGAACCCACAAAGCCACTCAGATCACCAAAGTTGTTCTCTTCCTCAAATGCCCATTTTGGATTAAACAAAACCACCGGCTTTGGATAAAAGGCATCGCTTACTCTTTTCACCAGTGCCAATTGGGAACTTAGTGGCGCCAAGAATATTGCCACATCCGCAGAGTTCAAGATTCTGGGGTCTGTTTTGGCCACTGAAGGAATGTCAATATGTTCAACAGTTGAATGAGACTGAAAGGCAACAGTGGCAGATTCTTTTAAGCTAGCATCAGGCCACATGATTAAGATTTTAATGAAAGAACCTTTTCTTTTGATGGGTATGTCCCCAAAAAAATCAAGAGCAAGTTGGGACAGAGAATCTGGTGAGTCATCAATGACTGGAATTTCAACTCGGAACTTGGGTTGCCTTAGTTTCTTGAATTTGCCTATCAGTTTGGGATTGTTGAGTGGCTTCTCTAAAGTTATTGAAAGGGATGTTTTGGCCTGAAGTATGGCCTCCTCCTTTGAGATAGGTGGGTTAGGGGAAGAAAGTGAGGAGTGGATGGATGTGGATGTAGCTTTGCCGGGAACAGTGGTGCTTAAGGGGATGCGGGAGCTGTGGCTGTGGTTGTATAGATATTGTGGAGTAGGAAATGGAATTGATGTGATCATCTGAGTATTGGAGTGAGGAGGAAGGCATGATGATGGCCTAGAAAATTGGATAGATCGGAAATGAGTTGTGTGGAGATGGGAAGATGCCATTCAAGGTTTTTACAGAGTAGCAAGGTGATGTAGTGCTGATATGAAACAGTTGTTTCAAAGCTCTATCCGGATAAGATATCATGTATCGTTTGTTCACAACCTCACAATAGTCTTACAAGTGGTGGAGGAATATAGCTATAATTTATAAACCTAATGCCACGGGAAGTCGCAGTGGAGTAAATAAATAAATACAATTTTAACTTCAAATTATAATGAGTTAAAATTACAATACACTAAATAAATATATTGCTTTAGCGCGTTGCTTTGTTCGCATACATCTCGTTTGACATTCATTGCTAAATGGAGAACCTCCCACTAGTCTGAATTTATTCCATTATTTTTCCTAAGAGAATAAATATGTTTGCTACAAATTTATTTAAAACTAAAGCAGCATTGTTTTTGCGGGATAACCCACCTACGAAAATAACAAGTTGATGTGCTTGACCTTTAATCATTTGTTTATTTATTTGGTTCCAACTTGGATTAAATGAAAACCAGTAATAAACATCAAAGCCGCCGCAAAGACAGCCAGACAAGCTTATTAACATTTACATGCAAATACCAGCCATTACTTCATAATAGTATCAGATACCAAATACAGTCGAAGCCACCACTGAATCCAGTTGGAACACTTATAAGATACAACTAAAAGGCAAGAAGCTATGGGAAAATGAATACAACTTTTGGGTCAAAATGGAAGCCCAAATAATTGTACAATGCCAACTTAGGCAACTGGTGGACGGAGTACATGATCCTGTGAGGTATCCACGGCGGCCGGAGGCATAAACTGCCACATGGCAACACCCGGATAACCCATAAATGGCACCAATTTGTTGCCGGGGGCTTGGCCTTGTGGAGCAAATGCAGCAGGGATTGCAGGAGGCGGTGGCAAGAAAGCAGGCTGGGCATTCATTGATTTTACCTGCAGCTCCAACTTCTCCTTCTCTGCCTTGAGCCTCTGTTTCTCATCACGAAGTTCATTCTTCTCGGACTGCATGAGATAAGAATTCGATAGTTAGTATAACATAAGGTTTACAGGATGTTTTCTTCACAGCCACGGTAATGTACTACAGTTAAGGCAAGAAGGTTTTAGGGAAATGAAATGATCCGGAATAAAGACCTCCCAACAAGTCCTTCCATCTTAAAAAGAAAAGTGTTGAATATAAAGTTTGGCCTCACCTTTAACTCTTTAATCTTCTCTTGAAGACCTGTATTCGAGTCTTTCAACTTCTGGGCTTCATCCCGCAGCTGTGTCACCATTCGGACGGCGTCAATCAGAATGGCAGCCTTGTCTGTTTTGGGAGGCCTTCCAGGCTCCAAGATGGAGCCCAATTCAACAAACCTAAGCATGTCAACCACATTAGATCCATGCCCCCAAACCACTTTTACTCACAAAACCACAAGGAGAACAGTTATGAACAGAGGGAAGATGGCGATGATATAAAAGTTTACTTGTCATTAAGCCTATCCCTCCGCAACTTCTCCCGACATGCTTTAGAGCTAGAAGCAGTACATGAATCAGACCTACCCCTGCAACAGGAACAAACTATAGAAATTGTATAACTTCCTCCAAGGATACACATCTGAATTGAATCCAATCATCAGCTTTAGACACGGAAAGAAGATGAGGAAACAGTGGCTAGAGAAAACGGAAAAAAAAAATGATGTAATGCCACAATTAAGCAAGATAACAAATATGCAATACGATTTATCACAGAAATTTCTTTATTGATACAGCTGAACTACTTGCAATAGGATTGTAACTTAAAATCTCATGCAAACAACCTAAATCCCCACCGCTAGGCTGATCCTAGTATCTCTGCTGAACTAATGCAAGCAGTGCTTCTCATTATCATTTTAGAAACTTTGTTGATTTGCCATTTCACTCAATTACATTACTTCACGAGCCTGTCAGTCAATTGATCACAAGCATGTGACTAGCAAGAACTACGATGCCGTCTAATTTCAGTCTTCAAATTGTTACTTCAAAGTTAAAAAAAAAAATGGCAAAGTAAATAATTTGAACTCTAAATTGTAACCCCCCCCCCCCCTCCCCCACCGAGCCAAACAACAGAAATTGGAAAAAAAAAAAAAAAAAAAAAAAGCTAGTTAGCAACACAACACATGTTAATTACGTGTTCCTTTTCTTTCATTACTTTTAAATTATTCATTTAAAAAAAAAAAAAAAAAAAAAAAAAAAAAAAAAAACATGTACCTCTTCTTCAGAGCAGGATCTCTGAAGCCATCAGAATCCCCGAGCGAAGCATCAATCTCAACACTAGAAACAGAACAACCCGTTAGTAAACATAAACGAAGCCAGGGAGGCATATCACAGCATGAATGAAATTACACAGAAATATCAAATCTCATGTTTGAAGCTTCCAAAAGCAATAATAAACCTAACAGCAGAAAGAGAAAGGACGGTTGAAATTGAAAGCCTAATTAGGGAAGAGTGAGAGGAGTACCCGACATTGGAAGGTGGTGGCGGTGGGAGGGGCCAGGCGAAGGCGGAGGCGGCGAAGGAAGCGTCGGCGACGGGAATATCGTCGATCAAGGGGTAATCGAAGAGCCAATTGGTGTTTTCGGGGGAAACCATGGCGCGTGGGAATGAGGAATTGGGATTTGACGTTGGAGAGGGTTCACAGAAAAAGAGGGTTTTCTTGTTTCTGGGAAAAGGGGAATCTATGGCTATGCCTATGCGTGTGCACTCACTCATGTCACCATAATCACATATCAATTCAATTCATCACCAAAATCAATATGCTATGCTAACTCCCTCTCCTTAACGGAATCTTTCATATTTTCTTATAATCCATAAATATTTTTCTTTATATTAATATATATTAAAATAATATTTCATCACCATAATTTACTATTTTTTACTTGTTAATGTTGAGATACCCATGAATTATGTTTATACTTATAAATTATTTTGGCTTTAATTTATTTTTGGATCTTGGAATTTTACTGTGTACAATTTTAATCCTTCATAAACTTTATTGTAAATTATATTCTTTAATTTTAAAAATTATGTAATGTTGATCAAATAGTTTCGTGTCATATAATACTTTCTTTTTATAAGCACATGTCACACGAGATATTGCCGTGTTTATGAAAAATATCACCTAAGGTGTACTTAGGGTTAGTTTAATAAAGGGGAAGGGGTGGAAAAGAGGAAGGAAGTATATAAAAATTGAAAAAGTAATTGTGTATGTTTGAGGAGAATTAAAGGGAAATACAATGAAGTTTTGGCGAATTTCGTAATAAAAATTTTTATAAAATGAGAAGTGTGTGAAATTTGTATTTATTATATATATATATATGTATGTGTGTGAGAGGAGGGTTCAAACGTTACCGATATAATTTTTATTAAATATTATATCGTTCAATAATTTTATATTAAATATAATTTTGTAAATTTAATTATTGAATTATAATTTCATATCACTTTATATGTTTATATCAGATTTTGTTAAAATTAAACAACAACTTAAAGACAATCAAAATATTTATATTTTATTATATTCTGAAACATATATTATATGTCAATTTTATTTTATAAAAATAAATTATTAAATTATCTTGGATTAATATAAAATTTTGTATATATAATTTAAGAGTAAAAAAATTTTAATCTAACAGTTCGATTTATAAAATTCACACTTAATATAAAATTATTGAGCAGTGTAATACTTAATAAAAATTACATTAATTTTATTTGAATTTTTGTCTCTACATATATAAACTAGTCGATATGAGTGAGTGAAAACAAAAATTGATTTTTTTAAGAAAAATTAAGAGAGAAAATAAAAAGGTAGGTATCCCTAGGAAACAAAGTGCCTAAAACATTCTGAGTAAGATCTCTTGGACACGAAAAGTGAAATGAATAAAATTTATTTGTTCCATGAATGTATGCTCTAAAGATAAGATTAGAGAATGATCTCATCTTTGCAATAATAGGCAAATAAGGGTGAGTTGGAAATGCTATTATGAGTATGTGAATTAATTGCTGTGAATTTTTTACAAAAACCAATCTCTTTATTTTTACAAGTAATTATTATTAGTTAAATGAAAAAGGGTTATTTATTTATTTATTTATTTAAATGAAGTGGCTTGTTGCATCTTATAATGGAGGGTTCAAATTAGACCTAAGACGTCAGTAACAGTAACAGTGTTGGCATGAAATTGAAATAAAATGGTCCGTCCATGCTTATGTCACTTTTGTTTATAAAATGCCCCAAAACGCGTTGAATCAATAACCAAAATGTTTTCTTTTTCAACATAATAAATAATGCATAATAATTTCTTAATGGGTGCTTTTAGGGTCCTAGTTAGTAAGACTAAGACTTTTAATAAATATCATTCTTTTCGTACTATAATAAATGTTTTGTAAAAAAGAAAATGTTATTTTAATTTTTAATATAATATTAATCATTTTTATTTTTATTCATACCCTTAATAATATTATTTAAAAAATTGTTACTATTTTACATTGTTTTTAGTAAAAAATAATAATAAGGTAGTATATTGATGTTTTTAAAATCATATAAGATTTATCTAATGATAAAAGTAGAATAATATATTCAAGATTCTAAGTTTAAACTATATTATTATTATTATTGTAATTTCTATAGATCAAAAAGAGATATTAATATTTCTTATTTTTAAGGAGCTTGTGAGAATTTTGAAAATCTTACTCCTTCAACTCTTTTATAATAGATATTTAAAGTTGTTTTACATAAACTAAGAAATATAATAATTTTTTTATTTATTTTTCATATGGTGATTTTAATGTTTTCTATTATATCATCTTTCAATTAGTTTCATAATAAATGCATATTAGTTATGATATACAAATTAATTAAAAGTTAGATAACATGTAAAAATATAATAATTGATAATGTACATCAATTAATATGAATTTAAAATTTGAAAATAATAAATAAATAAATAAACAAAATTTTACTTAAAAAGAAACATATTAAAAGGAAACAATCCTGTAAAAAAAGAAAAAAGCAAAACAATAAATATGTTAATAGAAAATAAATTAAACTGATTAAATATTTGAAAAATAATAAGAATATGAATAATTAATGTTAAGAATGATTTTAAAAAAGTGTGTACATTTAAGATAAATTTAATACTATAAAATAAATTAATCAACCTTTTAATCTTTGTGAATTAATTAATTGAATCTTATAAAAATAATTAATTGAATCTTTCCTATTTAGTTCTTTCTTCCTTTCTCATTTGTCTCATTTGTGAATTGAGCATTAAAGCAGCACTCCACCTTCCATCTTAACCATTTAGAATATGTTTGGATTTTTGTTTGAGGGACTTCAAATGGATAATCTTAATTTCTCAAATAAGAAATGGAGAAATGACTATGAGATCTCTTTGGACAAACATATGTCCAAGTTTTGATAAACGTTTATACAAATACACGCTTAATCTCTTAAACCATTTCGATCGTTTTCAATGAGTTTTATTTTCTTTTTCTTTTTTCTTTCTTGATTTGACCAAAAACATGCTTTTGTTGTGACTTTATACTAAACAAAGAAAAATGTCTTACTTGTGTATGAAGTTTAATTGCCTTTCTTAAATCAAATTCTTACTTATTTAAGTTAAATTGTTATTCACGTTCATTAAATGTGTTAGTTAACTATTATTTGTCTTAAGTATTGTGGACAAATTATATTGTTTACAAAGTAAATTAGAGTATAATATTTAGGTATAATTTTTTTATTATGTATAATTAGTGTAAATTAATTCTTTATGTGTAATTAGTGTTATTTTGTAATTAAAATAATGATTTTATCTCAATAATATATATATATATATATATATATAATATTTGTAGCTAGAAAACACATATATAATTTTGTACTAGTAAGACCATTCGGCCACTAGGTGGCCGATATCCTATCAGCACCCGAACAACCGAACTAGGTAGCCGACGACCGATCGGCCTCCAGATGATCCATAAGCTCACATCCCTCCTAATCAAGAATTAAGGATTACCCCTAATCAAGAGTCGGAGATTACCCCTAATCAAGGATTAAGAGTTAATCACACCGATAAACCAATTAGAGGCGTATTACCTAATATGGTAATCCTGTCATAGGGCCCAAGGCAGTCAGGGCCCATAAATGTTAGTATAAATAGCTCATGTCATAAGGTAACGTCACTGTTCATTAATTACCATCGATATCTGTGCTTTATCCTGACTTGAGCGTCAGAGTGCCTTTTGCAGGTACCTCCCCCTTTGTTGGAATATTCGATCGGAGTGCTCGTTCGGCCCTCAGAATACGAGAAGATTACTGGTGTATCCTTTCAACAGGTACATATATATTTGTATTAAATGCAAATCTCATTAATATATATTATAAATTAAAAGGATAAAACTCTAATTCTAATTAAAAAATATCACCAACCATACTTAAAGAATTATATATAAATTTTATTCAATTTATCATCTTACAAAGATGTGAGGTGACAATTCTTATGATAAATGTCAAATGAGAAAATCATAACAATTAATAATTTTATACACATGTTAAAATATTAATTAATTATCAATTCAGATGATTTGATATTTATATTGTTTAAGACTAAAATTTAATTATTAACTTAAAAATAATATTTGATACCACTTTATTTCTATTTCTATGGATCAATGTAATAACAAAAGTTATAATTCTTTATATAAAAAAATAAGAGTTAATCATTCATATATTGTCTGTGTAAAGTTTTTTACACTAGTAATCAATCATATTTTTTAAATTATTTTATTTTATTTTTATTTTATTAAATAAGCAAATAACGTGACACTATTAAAAGATATGATTGGTTGCCAGTATAAAATTTTTTTACATTAATAATATATAGGTGATTAATTCAAAAAATAAAATATTAATTAAAAGAAAAATTAGTTAACCTTGGTTCTGGTCATTATCAATAATTATTTTATGATAAAGAAATAATTATTCCTATTTGGGAGGGGTCACTGCAATTAATTATGGAACTACTTTTTCAGGCATATGTTGCACATGGAAAAACACTTGTCCTTTAACAGACGGTGTCGGTGTAAATCTCTGAAATGTTCTCATGGTGTCACCTGTCACAACATTTTTTTTTTCTTTTCTGTTTTCTGTAACCATCCATGCGTGTCACTTCAAAATTAATATTTTTATTTCAAATAATAGTTTTTTTTTTCTCAAAGAATAAAATAAGTTAAATACCTAACCTGCTCGTTGAACGCATGTCACTTTATGGATAATATTCTTTATTTTTAAGTAATTTTATTCAGAAGTTTAATTATGTGAAGAGTTAAAAACAATTGTTAAATACTTTTAACTGACTCGCCATACTTTTTAAGATACCATGTTGTTGTTAAGTGAAATGTTCATTGTCTTTTAGATGATTAATGTCTGCTGAGAAGGTATAGTTAAAAAATATAATTAATTTTTAAATTTCTTTATGGCTAAAAATTCAAGAGAAAGAGTGTGTTTCAACTCAAAGTGTGAAAAGCCTCCAGCCTCCAAGCCCCGAGTGACGCATATTTAATGATACTTATATGATTAGGAATAATATAATCAAGTTTCAACACATTCAAATGCAACAAGAAAGAGTATTGTTTAATTCAATACAATGTCATCACCATGAAATTAAATTCTGTTTCGGTTTGAAAAATGTATCACTCATTTAGGGTTAATCCGGAAAGAATATTTAAAAGTGTAATTTGTTCCCTCTTATTTTAGGGTTAGAATTTTT